CGAGAACCTTGTTCAGACATATCGATCCTGATTAATAGGAGTATCTTTCAAAGGGATGCATACATGGGTAGGTCAAGTCATTCGAACGATTTTACGGTGACGTCTATCTGTAGCAGAAGTTGTTTTTATACACAAAATAAAGCGCTAAGCTTAATACACAGAAGAGCTTTGAATAAAGCAAGAACAACAGTGGTTTATGCAGAATACAATGGTAGCATCATTAATTTCGTTTGTTTCTCATCAGCTCAACCGCCTACAGCCCAAAGTCATTATTAGGCATGTCTGCAGATGCAAGTTTAACATACTTGCGGAGAGTTCATTTTTAAACAAAAATAAACAAATCAGTATATGTATACAATAAAAATATATATAATAATAAACACTTTATCTCAAACAATAAGGATCATACACAATCGAAACTTTCAGCATTGCGTAATCAGATGAAAGAGAGAGTGAAAATATCCAGTTACTAGGCTGCAGCGCAAGGAAAGACTGATAACCGCTTCTTTCTAAACGCATAAGTCGGGTTTCAGGCGCTTTATGGAGGTCGCTACGGCGAAATTAAGGGGAATTGAACTCTTTCGTCTATTGATAATGTTGAACGATCTTGCGACGTCCACCTCATGACCTATGTTAAGAAGATGCCTGGGGATGTCACTGTTTAAAGCATTTGTTCCCTTTAGACATAGGATTTTTGGTACATGTTCAGAAAATCGAAGGTATACCCTTCTTCTTTCTGTTCTTCCGGTGTAACCACTGCCGTAGACACATGTAAATTCGTAGAACTCTTTTCTTCTTTCTCCTTTCTTCTCAGACTCTTAATTTCAAAATATGCTTTGCATATCTTCTGAATCTCTTAATCTTATGGACAATATTCTTCCTAGTTTCAAGGGCTTATTGTTTTACTGGTGATCATATATGAGCGACATTAATCATTCAGAGCTTTTAGATTGAGTAAGACGACTTGCCTTAATTAAGGTTTCGTGATGAATCCATCTTTTTTCCTGATATGTCGTCAGTTCGTATGTTTTGATACCAATTGAGATTAATAACTGACTTTCATAGGACTTTCTATGCATAATTTAATTTAATTTTAGATTTTCTCGTCGACTGATTGGACCAAAGTGCTTGGTCTCAGGTTGACATGGCGGCTTCTTGTGCATATGCTTCGACGATGTCTGGGCACTTAATGTGTATTTAATTGGTGAATGGTGGCTAGCAGTGGAATCCAGGATGCGCATTTCGTCCTGTTTGGGACTCGTTAGCTGGATGTAGCTGCATTTCACGGTGAGTGATGATGTTCCCACCGAGGCTCGAACCCAGTGCCGACATGTCAACCTGAGACCAAGCACTTCGGTCTAATCAATCGATGGGAAAATCTAAAATTAATTTAAATTAACATGACCCTTTGCACCAGAGGTCGCTCTCGTGGCCCAAGTGGTCTACTGGATAACGCTTTGGCGTTTGAAACTATCGGCGCTGGGTTCGAGCCTCGGTGGGAACATCATCACTCAGTGAGAAGTGCAGGTACATCCAGATGATGAGTCCTAAATAGGACGAAATGCGCATCCTGGATTCCACTGCTAACCATCACCCACCAATTTCTATGCATAACCTTTTAGAATAATATGTAATTGCATAACATTTGAGAAGAGAAGTTTGGAAAAGTACATTATTTGTTGACTGATGTCTTTTCAGACAAAGCAACAAGAAGACATGATTCGTCTGAATCGTGTATTGTGCATTTGTGCAGCACATTTCAAACAATCTTGTTATAGAAAAATATATGCATATAATAAAGAGTTAAGAGGTAAGAAAATAGACTTAGGTCAAGTTAAAAGGATATATATATATATTAAATGTCAAAATAACAATGAAACAACATTGTTATTATATAGCAAATAGTAATAATGATAATAATAATGTTAATGTTAATAATGAAACCACCACTATAAAATGGAATGTTAGTGGAATCATAATGAAGTAGATAGTACATGTAATAATAATAATAATAACATTCACTCATAATTTGCGATTCAGACTGCTGATTGAAGAAAGTTTATGAGTTCTTTTCTGACATCTGACTCTCTCTTCACACAACTTCCCGTGCTAAATATAGTGGTGAGATAGAATTTTTATATTTAGTAGCTGTACGAGCATAAATTCTTGTGGAATTTCTTTCCTGACTTTACCCGAAGATATACAAGGCAAAAGTTGAGAACAAGTAGAGAGGATGTTCAGTATCAGACAGGATAACTTTAGCCGTATGCTTGCAAGAATTGAAGTGACTATTGCCAATAATGTCAGTCAGCTGAGTCACACACACACACCACTAACCCTACTTACAGCCTTCAGTGTTCTACTTAATATGAATATGGTCTCTTTTGAGAAATCCAGGGAAGAGTAAGTGGGGCGAACAAAAATGGAGAATGAGTAGAATACGTGAATTAATAAATTGTAAGAGGAGAAATTGACTTTCGCCAGCAGAAATTCTCAACTTCTATATGCAATAAGTCAAACGAAAACTTTTCTTAGATATCAACAGAATATGAGACGACCAACAAAGATTCAATGAGAGAAACTAATACCGAGATGAGAGATATTCGATTTACTCCCTATCATCACAGTGCCGTCACTATTACAAGAATCACGGGACTGAATCAGTCAGTCCACGCAATTCTTGTTCACATCCGAAACTAAAATCAACAATATGACATTTAGATGAATTTAGTTTGTGGCCATTTATGTGAGACCATCGAGTAACCTCAGACGAGATTTTATTCATATAAGAACACTCCAAAGCAGAAACTAGTGGGACAGAAATAGTCAGATCATCGGCATATTTAATGAAGTTAGCTGTGGAAGAATATGGAAGGAGTGGTGGGGCGCTTTCTATTCAAAACAGTAAGTTACTTTCTACCCAGAAAAAGAAGATAGACACCTAATGACCCAAGACTCAGTGTTTCCTGTAATCAGCTCGCTTAGTAAAAGTGCTTTAAGGAATAGAGCCAAAAGCGGCAGTGTAGTCTAAAAAGGAGGCTAGAACAAACTCTGCGCCTTTATCAAGATTTTAAACAATATTGTGGTGGAGTACAACGATAGCATCTAATATGCTTCTACTGCATTTGTATGCAAACTGTTTTGGATCACTAAAAGATTTTCGAGAAGGTTTGAGAACATGTGTCAGAAGTTTCTCCATAGTTTTCAAAAATGGAGACATTATGGCGATTGGCCTAAACTTCAGACCTGATCCAGATAATGACTCTGGTACAGGCACCACCTTTATTTCTTCCCAGGCAACAGGTACTGTATCCTTGTGAAATAGTGCATTAACGACTTGAGTAAAAGGATAAAACAGAATATCGGCAGATTTTTGAAGCAAAATGCTTGATATATATGTTACTATGATAAGTGTGTGTTTGTGATCAGATTGTTCGACATTCGTTGCGCAAATACATTACACGATTCAGATAAATTACGTCCTATTATTGCTTTGTCTAAATTCCTACGGGGGACTAACTGTTTAAAAATATATCTTTTTAGTTTAAATCTCTCATAGCAGAGGGTAACGCGATAGAATGTTTGAAATGAAGGGTGATGTAATTCAACCTGGGTGGGAACAGCGTCACAGTGTTTTAGGGACATCCAGCTAGATAAAAATCCAAGAAACGGAACAAAATACCAATTCACGATCCAAATGCTAGCCACTGAATACTCAAAATCTTCTTTAGAAGGTCAAAAATAATGGTTAGACTGTTGTAGACTACCGGCCAGCAGTATTAGTCGGTCGACAGCAGAGTTCTGTTCACCGATATTTTGTGATCACTCACAAATAGAGGTAACTGACTGTTTTTTTCGCATCTGTCTGGACAAACATTAAGACGAATACCACTTATTAACCATTTATTCAACAATTAAATAAAATTCGTGACCAGTAGGGTGCAGCAAGTCGGGTGTGAGGACAAATACTCGCCGAAGACATTGGCTAGGGGTCACGCTATGTCGTAAATTGGGAGAAGTTAGAATTCATGGGACATTGGACCGGGTCCCAGTGGCTTAATGGTATACGAGCTTGCCTTGTAACCAGAAGGTCCCGGGTTCGAATCTCGGTGGGTGCGTACTGATGAAGAGTCCCAAACTAGGACGAAACAACTGTCCAGTACTCCCAGGTTTTCCAGTGGTTCTCTAACTAATGTCAGCTCATGATGAAAATCCTGTAAAACATTCTCACTGTTTGAAATGCTCTCTGTGTGGGATATGGGGCCTAAATCTTTGAGCTTCTGAAGTTTGAGTAGCAGTGATGTTATTTTTGCGGGGTGGAGTTTCTAGCCTCACACTCAACTTTCCTATGAGATCAGTTGAAGAACCACTGAAAACCAGGGAGTACTGGATACCTGTTTTGGCCTAGTCTTGATATCTTCAGCAATGCGCACCTACGTCCATCAGAAAGGATCGAACCAGAGGCCAAGCTCGTTGACCATTCAGCCATTTGAAAAGGGACTCCGTGATCCGGGAATCCTAACTTCCAGCAACTTCCGATTATAGCACGACCGCCAGCCAATGTCATCAGCGAGCATTTCTCCTCACTAGCAACATGGTGCACCCCACTAGTCACAACTTCTCACCAGAACTCCAGGCAACTGCGTTCTGTAGCCAGTCACCATTGCACGTCAGATTAATTCACAACAGTTTATTTGTAGGCATTCTATTTCTCTGAAATTTGGTCACATACTGATATCACTTTTCGTCCTTTTTTGGGACAGTTCATTAGCATGCAGTAACCACCACCTCAGGGGTCTTCAGGCACAGAGTTAGTGATTTCATTTTAGACGGTGTTTTCAAATGTAAATGGTTGCATGAAGATTAGCTTTGATTAAACTTATGCCGGATGATAAAGTCAAACAGATCCAGCTAGACAGCATTCACAAATCAGATCAAACATCTAGAATTTCATGCTACTGATATGAAAAACGTTAGAAACGAATAATTCACTAACTCACCTTCCAGTATTCCTTATGTTCATCCAACTGACCAAGAAATCCAACATATTTTCTCATCATTAACCAATATTTATCATTCATATGTATGCGAGGCATTCTCAGTGATTTCCATTGGTTAAAAATTATTATTGATCGTCTACGAGTAATATCAAATGCTATTGGTTGACAATTCACCTGAAGGTCAGCCTTGTTTAAACCTTCAATGTCAAATGTTAATTTATACCATTGATTAGGATTCAATTCAACTGGATGACTTTTATACCTTGTTGTGAATTTATGTTGGCTGATCATTGTTAATTGAATAAATTTGTGGGAATTTCGATTTTGAATAGATACCTTGAATAAGATTCTGTATTCAATTGGAGTGAAAAAAATTATGTAATAATTGAGAATATTATTTAATAATTATTTATAGTAATTTGTTTAGTCTAAATTATCTCAGAACAATGCTGAAATGCAGTAATTCTTAATAATTTCATCCATATGTGGTGATGTTATAATTTTACTAAAGGGTGTGTGCTATCCATTGAATTGTCGATGAAAAGTAATAATTAGAGCAAATAATGAATCGATAAAATGCAAGAAAAGTTGAAGTGAAATGATCACAGGTGATTTACCTATTGATTGCGCTAGAAAATGGGCATTCATTCCCTTTTGCATCACTGGATTTCATGAATTGAAATTAAACGTGATAGATAGTGCAACTTTTTGAAATAGTCTTGAGTTATTTTTATTCTTCCCTTGCGTTCCGAGTGGAACATAAGGCTTTAACAACAAATCCCCATTTTGTCCTACCTGTCGCCATCCTCTTCAGGTAGGCTCACGATTGATCGTAACCTCTCATCTCCTCTTTCATCTCAAAAGATCTCTTCCATATAACCCTGTCACGGATGACTCACTCGTCGCTTCCCCTTAAGATTCCTCTCGAGCGATGGCCTGCATTGCGCGCGATATCATTCAAAGGCCTCAATGTATGCCAGATCCATCCATATCTATCTTCTTCTACATATTTTTTGAGTAATCGGCTCACCTGTCGGTTTGTTCCCACAGTTTCTTGTTACTTATTCTTTCCAGTCATTCGATTCTCAGTAAGGAGCCAGCGAAGGCGGATGTTGACAAACTTCTGCAGTAAATTGTTAAAAATGCTATTCGTGACACGCTGGCCAAATATCTGACTCGTATAGAAGGACCAACTTCACAATGGTGTTGAAAATCCGAATCTTGTTCTTTATGTTGGCTGAGTGAAGCAGAAGATTTCCAAACTGGCTTCAGTTTGATAAAGGCGTATCTCGCCTTTCCGATTCTGACTTTGACATCTTCATCCGTGCTGTCCGACTGTCTGACTGTGGCTGAAACCGTGCTTCTCAGCCAGATAAGTGAAGCCAGCAAGTAAACTGTCATATCTTTCCCGCTGATGGTGATCTGTACTGGTTGTTGTTGTTGCTGTTGGTTGATTTGTTAGTTGGTTATCTTCATCACCTCCGTCTCCACCTTCTCCGTGTTCACCTGGAGTCCTGTCTTCTCTGTCACATTCTTCAGCCAGTTTGTTGGTTTACGCCTGCCTCTAAGTCTTCGAGTTCATGTGACACTGGACATATATCATCAGCAAAATCCAGATCTTCTTACAGACTTATATTGGAGTAATAGGCGATGACTGAAGGTGAGTCAACCAGTTGAGTTACAAAACTTGGTTAAAAGTTGGGTCACATCGCTCAGCATCGAACTGGTAAAACGTAATTCCAGATCCTTACTTTTCTAAGCTTCGAAAAAGCAAGACACTTACACATAAAGCGTCAGGCTTCAGCTGACATATCGATTTCAATTAATAATCATCTAAATTGGGATCAGAGACATTGGGTTCACGTTTGACTATGTATGTCACAACAAAGAATATCTCAGTGCCAACATGGTCATGGAACAAAATCTGTTAGGGAATCATTAAAATCCAAGGAGCATTGGTAAGATATACCCTCGTGGCTTCTTTATTTTCAGAAGTGCATCCAGTTTACTCTGACACGGTGGACTCTTTTGACCACAACTTCTCAATAACGCTTCAGGACGTGCATTTTGTAGCTACCAGTGAACTTGGGATTGATATTCAAATCGTGAGTTTTTTGGAGATTCTCAATGATTTCAATCAACGTCATTTAGAGAACGAGCTCGCCTTGTAACCAGAAGGTCCTGGGTTCGAGTCCCGGTGGGCGCGTACTGCTGAAGAGTCCCAAACTAGGACGAAACAGCTGTCCAGTACTCCCAGGTTTTCCAGTGGTTCTCTAACTGATGTCAGCTCATGATGAAATCCTCCATACAATTAAACAAAATCCCTACCAAACCAATACTTGAAAATTTAGAGAACAATTGGAAACCAGTTACCCTGCCGAAATTAGAATTCATGAATCTAATCTTGTAACTAAAAGGTCACTGAGTTGATCTCGTGAGCTGAAGGTGATAAATTAGATCTATGATGGTATCATGAGTGTGTACTGTTGAAGAGTGCCAAACTACGATGAATCAGTGGTCTGTTACTCTTTGGTTTGCTGTGGCTCTTTCGCTGAGGTCAATGTGTGAAGAAACCTACATTGGAATAAGTGAAACAACTCAATTTTTTCACAGAAAAGGGCTTTTAACATATTTATCGATGAATACGTACTAATTCTAGCACATATTTCGCTTTCTCATCTTGCACATCTCACAAATGATGAAGAATTCGGAAAAATCTCCCCTGTGAAAATAGTGCAAGAAATTCCAACGAATATTTCCGCCTAATTTCAGCAAACAGATGATAAACAGAAATATCTACGCATTTCAATGAATACCTGCCTTTTTTGTGAGCAATTTTGTTCTCCTCCGATGATTCGGCTTCGAAATCTGATGAGAAATTCACTTCACTTAGAGGATCATTGGCAACCAGGGAGTAATGGATATGTGTTTCGTCCTAAATTGAGATTCTTCAAAAGTGAGTGTTCATGACTCCATCAGGGATCACGAACTAACTGAAGAGATGAACGATTCACAAAAACAGCTGTTCTTCAGTCATTTCGGTGAATACTCATGTACAGAAACTAGTCTAACTTAGCAACTGATGCTCCTCACTACAACTGGGGCGAACTTTTAAGTCATGTCAGAGAAAGCTACCCTATCTTACATGTTTTATGCGTTTTCTTATAAATATACGTCATTTTTGTGCAAAAGTCACTTATTTCTATGATTGGTCAGCTGAAGGTCACACCCATGCGTTATCATCTTTCGGGACGTTATTGTTGAACTTTGCCTTCAACTGATCTAGTTCCTTGAGCAGAGTCAAACTGGATACACCACTGCTGAGCTTTGTCTCAAATAGGCAAAACAGCTATGCAGTATGTAGATCCCTTCCACCTGTCTAACAAACGGGTAATATCCAACTGCTTATATCGGTTTGTCAGTAGTATATGCCATCGTATACATATTCAAATGCCTGAAACCCTTTGAAGTATGAAAAGACAACAACATAACAAAATGAAACGATTAGAAACTTGCATATATCACTTACAGCTTTGAAGGTTTCTCAATAATTGATATGAGTGTTTGACGAGCACCCGTATCATTAACTGTATTTATCATTATAAATTCAATTGAGAAGTATATTGTTCTAGATGTAAGTAATACATTTACCATGTTCGCGATATCATATTTTGTGAATTGTACACTTCTTGGCTCCAAATGACCTAAAAAGTAAGACGAAGACTACAGTGTAGGAGTCAAAATATACCTAATATTCAGAAGGAAAGTCATTCAATCAGCCAATATCAACATGTATTATATTATATTAAATTATTGTTTCCTTAAATTCTTAGAGGAACATAGGGCTTCAGCCGCATGTATCCATTGCGTTTGCTTCTCTGCCTACGTTTTCCATCTTCTCTCCACATGACCTCCTCCATGTCACCCTTGCACTGCCGACCAACTCACCACTTCCCATTTGGTCGTGTTCCACTCGATCAATGGCCTAGAATGTGATGTCACTTGATGGTTTTCGCAGAGTGTGGGCAATTCACCTCCATTTCTTCCTGCATATTTGTTGCACAGTCGGTTCCTGCTGGATTGGTTCATTCATTGTCAGAGATCGCTGTTACTGATCTTTTCTGGTTGGCCATCTAATCTTGAGTAGTATTGAGCTAAGACGGCTGTTGATGAAAGTCTATAGTTTGTTTGAGGTGCTCTTCATGACGCGCCAAGTCTCTGATCCGTGTAGTGTCACTGACTGACTTCACATTGGAGTTGAAAATACGGATCTTATTTTTCATGTTGAGTGCCGAGTGTTGACCTCCACAGAGACTTGAGAGCAATGAAGGCTTGCCTTGCTTTCCCAATCCTCGCCTTGGTATCTTCATCAGTTTCGTCCGCTTGTAGTGGAAACTATGCTTCTCAGGTAGGTGAAGGAGGTTGCTTCTTTCAGATTTTTCCCATTTATGCTGCCTGATTGTCGTCTGCTGTTGTTGCTGTTGCTGTTGGCCAGGAATCTTCATCACCTACCTTTGTTTTCTCCATGTTCACCTGAATTCATATCTTTCTTTGATGCTTCTTGTGCCACCTTGTTGCTTCTCACTTGTATATCTTTTGGTTTGTGGAAAATCAGACATATATCATCGGTGAAGTCCAGATCCTCCAATTTTTTGGCCTGTTTCCTCGCTTCCCGCTGTCTGTCGCATCATCCGGTCCACCACCCGCAATCAAGAAAATCATTGGAGACAGTAGGTAGCTAGCCTTGTCTTACTCCAGTCTTCACTTTGAAGGATTCCGTGAGTTTCGCGTTATTCACTATTATTATTGTTGTTAATATTAGAAATACGTGAAGACTAATGTGCACCTGCCAGAATTCGTACCTCGAAAAATGGAATATCGCAAAACATAAACTCTATGATTATGATTAACAGGAGAATACCTAATTTGACAGCTAATGTGACATGTAACATGATTCACGCGGCAGTCCGACACTCTTAGCCATACTAAATGTTATGAACTGCAATTAGTTGTGCTCTCTGAACCGGCTGGTTTAACTGCGAAGCTTTTAATATCCCTCTTTTAGAAAACATCTTCAGTTCGGCGCAAGTTTGGCATAAAATGAACTGATTTGAATTCTCCTTGAATGATAGAATTGCGTCTCCTAGTAACCGTCTTCGTGACTGGTAGTCAATTGACACCTGTATTGATTATTTTGTATTGACTTGGATTTCGAACTTTCTCGTCACGTGATTTATTTTTTATTAGTTAGTAAATTTGGTCTATATTGACGTGTTTGTTAATCGCTTGCTGATTCACTTGAGTACCAGGCTTCTAGGAATCCCCTGACTGCACTTTTGATGTTTCCTCTGTAAACAAAATTTCCACATTATCCCAATCATCAAATTGGTGTCCATAATTATCTACACGTATTGATATGAAAGAATATATATCATATTGAAGATGTTGTCCACAAAGGGAGACGATAAAAGCTCCGCAATACAACCAACCAGCTCAGAGAGTACAACTAACTGCAAATTATCCACCTGAGCTACAAATATTCTCTAATATTTAAAAATGTTATAAACTTCTGATATGATTAGCAGTTGCATCGCGTAGCTCACCCCGGTAGGGCGTCGGGCTGATAATTAAGAGACTACTTACCGGTTCAGATCTTGATACTTTCTAGATTAGAACGTAGGCTGGAAAGATAGTGGATGTGGGAAAATAGAACACAGAAGTTGTATTGTATAATACTAAGTAAAGAAACTTTCTAAAATGTTATTATTATTGTTGTTGATACTATCGTCATATGTGCACTTTTTAACAAGTTTATTTCTGTAGGATTTAAAGATAGATTTAAGCTTCACAAGTGTTGCTAAAAATTGAAAACAAAACTAAATTGGGATTAATAGTGTTTTTTTAAATTTTTCTTCGTTTCGCATGAGTCATTCTTTCTTTTACCACATAAAATTTACAGCCCACATGTTTTCCCACTAATTTGTGGCAAGCAGAAAAAAATTGTTTCATTGTTAGGCATAAATGTGTTATAATGTATATGTCTTCAAGAATTAATACATTAGTTACAGGGTTTCACCATGAGCTAACGTCGGTTAGAGAACCATTGGAAAACCATCATGGAGTACTGGACAGCCAGCTGTTTTGTCAGCCTAGTTTGGGACTCGTCAACGGTGCCCCAGGTAACTACCAACCTGAATAGGAAAGCCGTGACCAGTAGGGTGCAGCAGGTTGGGTGTGAGGACAAATACTTGCCAAAGACATTGGCTAGGGGTCGCGCTATGTCATGAATTGGCAGAAGTTGGAATTCATGCTCTTGCCACTGGGTTGGTTCCCGATGGCTTAATAGTCTACGAACCAGCTTGCCTTGGCGCCAGAAGGTCCTGGGTTCGAAACACTTAGTGTGGGTGCTTACTGCTGAAGTGGAGTCCCAAACTAAGCTGACGAAACAGTTGGCTGTCCAATACTCCCTGACTGGTTTTCCAATGGTTCTCTAACTGATGTCAGCTCATGATGAAATCCTGTAACCAATCAATCAAAACCCTACAAACGAATACTTAAATATGTAAAGGATATTAAATTCTCTTACATAAGGTGCTATGTGTTACACAGGAAAAGATTTGAATTTTTTATAGCTCTGTACTTTCATTTAACCTTTCTTTAATAAAATCACCACAGGTATTCTATACTTTAATGTTAAAATCCTCTCCCAAGTTTTAAGTTCGAATAAAATGATTTGGGAAAATAATATTAGTACATATTTTATAGCTTTATGTTGAACAAATAAATACATTGAATACAACTCTGAGATTATTCGCTACACTTGGATATATTCACTGGAAAATTGAATGTTTAGCTACCTGTACACAAGTGGAACACTTCAGTTTTAATGATAGGCAGGTTAACTGATTGATAAATGCCATAAAGTGATACCTCTGTGTAAAAATGTTATCCTTTCAAAATCTATATGTGAACTTGAATTTTAATGTATTATTTCAATCAAAACAAGGATGTAATTAGCATTTGAATGTATTCCTGTTGAGTGATTGACAGTTGAATTTCAAATGTACTTTAGTTGGTTAGCGATGAATAGGGATAAGGGGTCCATCATCTGAATATACCTTCCTCACTGTTGAGTCATGATATTCCTACTGAAGGTAGAAGCCAGCAGATGGAACCGTTTTCCACAAAGACTATTTTGTGTTTAGGCAGTTAAAATGGTTGTCATTGCGTTCGAGGTCCCCCAAAGAGCATCATTACTCACTCTGACTACTGAAGTATAACCGGCAGCAGATATAAGAAGAAATTTAAGACACTCTACTAGAAAGCTTGGTTACAGAACTCTGTAGCTGCGAAACACTTCATAAATTACGTCCCACTACCGAAAGCATTTTCAAAGTGAGTGAATTCGATTAACATCACGTATCAAGAACGCTCCGGGATGGAACGTTAACGGAAAAAGACGAGTTGGGCGTGTGTGTTCGAGATTGAGACTGGTATATTGAAGTTCGTGTGAGGAAGAAATGAGGAAAAAAGGTTTCAGAGAACAGGGCAGAACTGAGATGTCCAGTGAAAACCTAAGAGAATAGGAATGATATACAGGAATAAGAGTCTGTCTACCCAAGACAACCTCAAATAATCTCACTATCGATTAAAAAACTTCTTGAACAAAGCAAGAACAACAATTGTACCAGGATAATATGAGCTCATCTTTTATTATTTCGAGGATTCTTCCCAACTGGTTACAACCTGAACGATAAAAAATATGAATTACATTACATTGAAGATTTGAACATACTTTTCCACGATCACAAGGAGTAATTGATTGGTAGGAAGTAAAAGTAACATTAGTCCGGAATGATTTAACTAATTAAGAGTTACAAACACTGACTATTTATAGAATAATTAGACAATTAGGCTTGGAAACAAAAAGAGCTGCATATATATATATATATAGCTAGAAAGAGAATAACAAAAAGGTAGATTACGTAACTAAAGAAAATGTTTTATCTAATAGCCAAAGCACATACATCGGAAGAACACAGAGAAGGGTTATTGCCCGCATTTCTCAATACATACCAAAGAACCTGAGACTGAAAGGTCCACAAGTATTAAACAGTGCAATTGCGCGTCATCTATTAGACACTGGTCATAATGTAGACAACTTGAAGTCATTGAAAATAATCAACAAGCAAAAGAAACCTAACTTGCTACGCTTTGCTGAAGCAATTGCTATCAAAGGACTTAGACCAAATCTATGTTCGCAGAAAGAGACAGTGATGAATCTTGCACTACCCTGGTGATAACAAAATATACAACTTGTATGAGTCACCCTTTTTCTTGTTCAGTAAACTCTACTCTCTCATCTAAACATGACTCGCCCTATCTTGTTCTTTTCTCTTTCTTTTTTTCTGTTGGCTATTAGATAAAACATTTTCTTTAGTTACGTAATCTACCTTTTTGTTATTCTCTTTCTAGCTATATATATATATATGCAGCTCTTTTTGTTTCCAAGCCTAATTGTCTAATTATTCTATAAATAGTCAGTGTTTGTAACTCTTAATTAGTTAAATCATTCCGGACTAATGTTACTTTTACTTCCTACCAATCAATTACTCCTTGTGATCGTGGAAAAGTATGTTCAAATCTTCAATGTAATGTAATTCATATTCTTTATCGTTCAGGTTGTAACCAGTTGAGCTCATATTGAGCTCATATTATCCTGGTACAATTGTTGTTCTTGCTTTGTTCAAGTTTATTAATGGGAAGAATTGCATAAAGTTTTTAAAAACTTCTTGTCTCCCTCAAATTCACAATGATTGCGATTGACAACGGACGACCGTGAGAGGATAGTTGATCAGAATATCTCTCCATGGACAATCTATTTCCAATATTGATACTTATTCGAATAATTTTTCAACTAATTTTGTAAGTACTACCCTTTCCTATGACTTATATATTGTCGCTCTAGCGTTTGTAAAACGTTTGGAAGGAAGGAAAGCAATAAATTGTGTTCGAAACGTCACCAGTAAATATTACTGTATAACACTGCGAGACTTTATCAAAATAAAATTTACCCATAATGGAATTACACTCTACCACAGTAAACAAGTTTTTTTCTTATATCAAGGAAGGAGAGGTGCCTACCAATTGGAAGAAAGGATACCCTCTTAAGCTATCAAAGAAAGGGCGACTTATGCCTGTAGGACTACTGGTGTGGCATAACAATAAGACATCTGGTTACCAAGGCAAGGAAAAACTGATAATGCCTTCTTTCTAAATGCATAAATTGGGTTTCAGGGGTTTGATGGAGATTGCCTAGGCATTCGTGATGCTCACCTGACAACACATATAGATGAAATGCCTGGTAATAGCACTACTGATAGCGACTTTTCCCTGAGATGTAGGCTTTTTGATACATGTTCAGAAAATCAATGATGTGCCTTTCTTTCTGTTCTTCCAATGTAACTACCCCTGCAGATGCCTGTACGTTTGTATACATGCAGTTAGAGTTGATATGTGGAGAGTATTTGTCGAATTTTGACTGCACTTGAAAGTAAGTTGCCCGATAAACGTGAACCAACTTACTGTCGCAAGATAATGGTTGGCTAGTGAGGTATTCATTTTTCACCCTGCATTACTCGTGGAAATTTTGTAAGTTATACAGAAGAACGTATCGATTTGTTTGTTGCGTTCAGACGGAAATACCGAAATCAATGGGCATTCTGTGTGATAACAGTCAGACTACATAGGCATCATTCACTTACGTGACAGCTAATCATTACCTGTCTACGATGATCTCACTGAGGGGAGGACACTAGTAAGTAGGTGGCACTAGTGTAACAACAGAAGACAAGGGCCAGGCAACAGAACGTTTATTACGGAAAATCAACACGTATTTATAGATTTTGATGTACATTATTGTAGGTTAATGTTAGTAGAAAATACAGTCTGTTGATTGGTTGTTTCTCACACAAAAATAACTTTGCGTCTCTTGTGGCTGTGTCAGTTCATCTATATGTTAACTGTATCCGCCTGTCCATCTTGACCTTGTTTTCACCTGACTAACATTGACCTCAATTACTGTCAACCAATTTGGCTAGCAAGCATCTCTCGCCACAACATGACTAATATTTGATACATAAACATTGACCTCAATTACTGTCAACCAATTGGCTAGTAGACAGCTCTCACCACACTCGTCCCCCGTCAAATAGTTTGGACTGAAGTCGGCTTGATCTTCTTGGTGCTAGCGTCATCGTTGGCTTGTCTCGCTCTATCCATTTCTGGAGCTCGCTGATGTTCACATGCTTCTCTCTGTTTGCATTTTTGATGATATATACGTGCCCCAGTCTCGCGGTGACCGTGTATTGTCCTTCCAACTTTGGTAGCAGTTTCCGCGACCCTGGCACGTATCCGCCGGTTTTTCGCCTATCTCTACATTTGACTTGATCTCCGATCTCGAATGCTGGGTACTTCTTTTTTACCCTCAGTTCGGCTTTCACAGCGTCCACTTTCTGCTTTCGTTTTACGTTGTTGATGGCTTCTTTCCACTCCGTCCGCCATCTCGTCATACTCCAATGCTGATGGAGGGGCCAGGTCTTGTTATGTATCGGTAGTCGTGGTTTCCTCCCATACATCAACTGAAACGGTGCTTTCTTCGTCGTTTCTTGCGCGGACGCACGATAAGCTAGCAGAATCAGTGGAAGCTCTGTCTCCCAGTTACCGCCCTTTGTAGCCAGCCACTCTTTCAGGGTGAGGTTATTTCTCTCCATCAGTCCGTTTGTTTGTGGATGATATGGTGTTGTTCTAATTTTCTTGATACCTAACTCTTGCAGCCGGACTTTAAACTCCGCTTTCAAAACACGGACCTTGGTCTGTCAATATCGCTTTTGGCACACCATGATTTGCAACGATATGTCGCACCACTGCTACTGTGATCGTTTTTGCGCGTTGATCAGTAGTAGTAGCAGTTAGTAATTTCACGCATTTGATTTTATTCTTACATATTCAAAAACCTTTACTATAATTAAACTTTTATGTATCAAAAAGAATAAACGAAATTAAAAATAATTATAATAATGTGTAATTTTTTATTTTGTAATTAGTGGTATGTAAAGTTGTTTTAAAATTAAAAGACAACAGATTAAGTGATGTTCACTTAAATACCCGATACGAATGTTCACATGTTCATTTATTCTGTCACAAGACTGGGCGCCAAAGCTTTTATTTTTGTTTAAAATTAAATTTGTATGGAAACATGTTTTTTCTGGGAATTAATTACACGGATGGGTTAGCACTTAAAACATCGTTTCAAGGTATTCACCACCTTCATTTCTGGATAAGAAAGCAAGTCTATGTGATTGGTTAATGGTGTGTTTATAGTGTCAGGTCCTGCATTAGTCTTGGCGCCGCCTGAATCTTATCTCTCGGTTTAAACGGTAGACACCAATGTGGGATTAATCAATATATTAAATATTTCTGAGACATTTGGAGGTAGGCTTTGAAACCAGGTCTCGTTCTTGTTGACATCTGCAAGCAAGGCGTATCTTCAATAACGAGTGGCCTACATCGATAACTGCAGTTCATTGAGTGTTAACACAAAGGACCAGAAACATGACACTAGTAACCTTAAAGTAATCAGCGATGATAACGATTTCTTGTCTTTCAAGAAGACGATTGTGAACCAGAGTAGAGCAGTGGTGATGCCACTGATTGAAGCGGTGTATGGCGTAGCCCAAGTCTCCTAGAAGGGTACCACTTCCATGACGGGTCACAGATATGCTTTGCTGAATAGTGCCTTTTTTAATCATGGAACAAAGATGGATGGCTGACTGCCGACCGCAACAAACTATGTGAGATTATTATAAACATCGATGTTTAATTTTGAATGTGTTGTGATAGCTTCAGTTGTAGAATACTATTTCGAGCATAAAGAACAACATACGGATTTTCAGCACTATTATCATTTCAGTCAGTGCTTCTAAATAGTTCAGAAGCTTGTCTCAAGTGTCACTGGAAGCCTCTTTAGCGGCCTGCTGCATTCATTCATCAACAGCTGCCTCTTCAGCTCGATACTGATGATCAAGCAGTTAGCTAAAAAGGTGCCTTAATGGTCTACGAGCTAGCTCGCATTGTGACAATAAAGTAATGGGTTCGAACCCGGCAGGTGCGAGCTGATGAAGAGTCCCAAACTGGGCTGACGAAACATCTGTCCAGTACTCCCAGCTGTTTGTTCAATGGTTTTTTGACTGATGTCAGCTCATGATGAAATCCTCCAACCCACCAAAACAGGATAAGCAACAGGCTACTCTGCTAACAAACATCCGTCTGAGTTACAAATCTTCTGTACAAATTCCCCTGTCAACATTTTCACTGCTCTCAGAAAATACATTTCGGCTGTACAAATTCACTCTGTCGCAATACACTCTACGTTTCAGTACAGTGAGCTATACAGACGTTTTATTGTTGGCTGACGAACAGTGGGGTAGTCTTGCTTTATACGGAGGATAAACACAACGTTAATGATATTCAAGTGTTGGTTTGTAGGGATTTGATTGGTTACAGGATTTTCATAATTAGCTGACATTAGTTAGAGAAACATTGGAAAACTTGAGAGTACTGGACAGCTGTTTCGTCCTAGTTTGGGACTCTTCAACAGTACGCACCCACCACACCAACATAGTTCGAACCCAGGACCTCCTGGTTACAAGGCAAGCTCGTATACCATTAAGTCCTTAGTTCGAATCCCTGTGGGTGCGTACTGATGAAGAGCCCCAAATTGCAACGAAACAGGTGTCCAGTACTTCCAGGTTTTCCAATGGTTCTCTGACTAATGTCAGCTCATGATGAAAATCCTGTAAACAACGTTAGTGACATTGAATTGATGGTCATATGAAAGGATTACTCTAAAAAGTATAAATGCATTGATTGAATAGATCAAAAACTATTTCTTACTCTTCTGAAAGTTGAATTCAGTAGACGACCTCATTACAATTTCATACTGTGAATCAATTTGTACATAATTTCTGAGAGATTTTTGTCGATCACCTGAAAAGAAAACAATTGGGAATATTAATTAAATTATAACTAGAACCATTAAGCCTTAAAGAAGCTAAAAATTCTTAATCACAAGAAGTATTCAAGTTAGTTAACTGTTCAAATTTATCCGTGAATACACCTTACTGGTGTCGCCTAGCAGCACAGTTTCATTTTCCCCCTAGCACACAGGCCCAAATGGTCGTTTCCCATTCACTTCCCATCCACTCCAGGACCTATTGAGCCTCCAGTCACTTAACAGTCTCTTCAGCATGCCTTCAAACCGTTTCCATTTTCTCAGGCATAGTAGTTGAACAATGGGTTCTTGATTGGTTTGTTGCCTGTCGGAGTTCCTCATCACTTATTTTTTCCAGTTGGCCATTTGACCCTCGGTAGTGAGCGAAAGTAGCCGTAGGTAAAAGTAAACGGTGACCAGTTGAAAATGAGTACTCAAAGTTTCTGAAATATACATGGAAACAGTGGCTGATTTGAAATTGGTTTTAAGGATCGACGTCTTATTCCTCATGTTGAGTTCATAAGATTTACACATTGATTTCGGAGTAATGAAGGTGTGTCTTGCTTCAAACATCCTAATTGATGAATGTGTAAAGTTTGGGCACTGTGGTAGTAAATAATTCCATATTAGTTTGTTTATTAGATGTATCACTCAAAGTGAGCGAAATAGTATTATTTACTCGATGACATTTCGAACAAAATTTTATTACTGTTCATAATCATATCATCACTTACAATCACATGACTTTGAAACTTGAGTTTTATAGTTTTCTTTGTTCTATCTCTTATTTGTCGTCGTAGGGGTAGTAGAATTTTTGAGATATCTGGGACAGGTATTGAATCATTCCTATTACACGTGTTGGTTCGTAGTTGATTCTATAAACAAAGCTCCCATTACCAATCTCTCCCTCCACTCTGTGACACTAGATTTTAAAACTGTCATCCTATCCCATCCTGTTGTATGGTTGCGTGTGACTGCATGTAGTGCTATGGCTGAACTATTCTCTAGATTCCTTATCTTATTCGAGTCAACCAATCTAGATTGTGCTAGGTATTTCGCTCCGTTAGTCTGACTGATTGCCGCTGTTCTACCACTTTGACCTATGCATTTGACCTGACAATCATTCCAGCAAAGTATTTGAAAAATTAGTATTAATATTAATGATGACGTGCATGTGAAATATGCGCAAGACAACACCAACAATAAAGAATCTAAATCATCAGTAGTAATTCCATACAAGGAAAGAACCTCGAAAACCACCTTACGCAGAATTCTTAACAAGGCAGGAATAAAAGTGTCTGGCATTCAAACCGCCTCACAAACTCAATTAGAAATAAGCCTGGTCGGTTAAAGGATCTTGTTGAGCCTTTAAAACAAAACAATTTAGTTTATCTAATACCCTATCTGCAATGATTGTCAGGTAAAATACAAAGGTCAAAGTAGTACAACAGAGTCAGTCAGTCAGACTAGCGGAGCACAAAAACCTAGAAAAATCTAGATTAGTTGACCCGAATAAGATGAGAAATCTAGAGAATAGTTCAGCTATAGCAATACATGCAGTTACACACAACCATATAATAGGATGGGATAGGATTACAGTTTTGAAATCTAATGTCACAGGGTAGAGGAAGAAATTGATAACATAAGCTTCATTTATCGAATCATCTGAGAGAGAATACGCGTAATAGGAATGATTCAACACCCGTCCACCCGGACATCTGAAATATTCTACTACCCCTACGACGACAAATAGGAGAGAACAAAGAAAACTATAAAACTCAAGTTTTGAAGTTGTGTGATTATAATTGATGAAATGATTACGAACAGTAATAAATTGTGTTCAAATCGGTGTCATCCAGTAAATAAAACTGTTTCACTGTGTGACACATCTAATAAACAAACTAATATGGGATCTTGATGGACTTTGACATCCTCATCAGTGTTGCCTGTACTTGAAACGATGTTGTTTAGATAAGTGAGAGATGTGTGAATTCCTTTAGATATCTCCCGTTTGTAACACTGTCAGCCGCCATCAATCAAATGAGATAATGCAGTTAACTGATAAACACTTTACAAGTGATTGTCACTAACAGTTTTGGACTGATCACAGAATATATATAAATATATATATAAATGTAAGGAAAATCCCGAGTATGAACAAATAGTTTCATATCATACCAGTAGCACAAGGCCTGAATCAATTTAGCGTTTGAACAGATGGGCGGTGGATTCAAGACTTGTTAGGAATACTATTATTCATGCAGAATGCAGATACATCCTACTAAACGATCCTGAACGATTCCAGGGTTCGATCCCCGGCCGACGCACTGCTTTACGTCGCTAAGCCAGAAATAATGCTGGTGAAGAGGAAAGGTCGGGTATGAGGCTAGCAACCCCATCCTGTAAAAATAAACACTGCTACAGAAACTTCAAGCCACTAGCTTGAGGCCCTATGTTCCACTGAGGAACGTGAAGGAAACAACGATCCTGAATAGGATAAAAAGGCTTATCCACTATTAGCCACCACTAAAACAAGTAGTTTTTGGGTTTTCTAAACAAGGTGACACCGAGATATTTAGTATGTGCCGCTTGATTTTTATGATATTGCAACTGGGTAACAGAAAGCTAAAGCGCCATACACTAAACAACATTGATTCCATTGAGTCGAGTGTTCCTGAACTAGAACGAAATGTCTACTTGCAAGTTCACGAAGTCCACGATATACATCAAGAACTACGTCAGTACTTCAAAGAATATGTCCAAGAAGTCACACAGAAACAGTGTGATAAGATCAAGTCACATTTAATTAAGAACCCTAAGTCACCCAGTAATATTGAGTGTCCATTCCAAAGCAACCCAGAAAAATACGTGCTTATTCTTTCAAACGTCGAACTGTCAACACTTCATCTAGAAGCACTATCCTCAAGTCCAAAATTCTGAGAAAATCACCAGAGACCCAGAAGCTTCAGTCTCAGGTTCAATTTGAAAAATTGACAAATCGAACATACGATTTAGTACCGACATCTGAAGAGAACGTGTAACGATTCATATCGTCAGTCCTTGACAGTTGTCATAAGTTTATAAGTACCAAACCAAACGAAAGATCTATAATAGCCAAGAAACACTTTAAAGAGCTGAAAGAACCAATCAACAACAAAGAGATCATGCTGATATGTCCGGATAAAGGTGGAGGGATCGTCCTCATGAATCTTGAGGTCCACATAAGTAAAATGGTGATCATCCTATCCGACTAATTCAAATTAAAATACCGATCAGTGAAAAGAAAATGACGGAGCAAACCGAAGACTCAAGACTGAATCACTTATTGAGGCTTAAATGCTCAAATTGTTGAGGCTATTTGGCTCAAAGACACCCCAACTTTATGGAATTCCAAAAGTCAACAAGAAAGACACACCTCCTCGATCTGTTACGACAAAAACCAAGGGCCAGGCAAAAGATCGTTCACTGATAAAACCAGGAGATATTTATACATTTTTATGTACATTATTGTCAGCGGAGAAGCAACGTCTTCTGATAGGCTGTTTTCTTGTTTTTAGGTTATTCTGTGTTGCTTGTAACCGTTTCTCAGAAAGTTAAGCCATATATCTGTGAATCCTATTTGCAGACGTTAAGTCTGCTGTGATTGGTTGGTGAGTTCCTCAAAGTTAAACCTCGTTATTGTTCTTCTCATGACCCCGATTCGGGACGTAAACATTGACGTAAATTGTTGTCTACAGTTTTTGGCTTGCAGACAGCTCCCACCAAAGATCTCTTCCTGATCTTGGTCATCAGTAAATATTACTGTATAACACTGTGTGATGTTATCAAAATAAACTTTATCCACAGTGACGAATGTGTTTTCATGAGGTCAAAGAAAGAAATCCCCCCTCCAGGTCTAGTTACTGAAGAAAAATGTTTCTTAACCCACTCATTTCTTTATTTTTACAAGTCTGTTTCTTAGTTTAGATGCCACGAGGTATTATTCACATAGGTGATACCACTTCAAATCGAGCATAAGACGAGAAGGTGTATCTTGGATTATTCGAATTACAGTATCTTAACTATTCAGCACGAGCATTATGATAGCGTCCTTATTGTTACACTAAGACAGAATTCATCCTGCACACCCTATACAAGACTTAAAAGTCTGTAATGGTTTAATTAATCACTTGGAATTACAGCAACTCAATAATTTAGGGATTTGAACTCCTATGGATTCGAACTATAATACCATCACCTAATATAATCGATCAAGAATAACTATCACTCCTCGTCTTCTGATTTTAAATCACGTGATTCTTGCTTCAGTTTACAAGAATTAGTAAGTTTGAGGCTTAGATCACTGATATTACTATCATTTTGTATTTAGGCGGCTCAGAATTGGATATGTTTCCAAAGTGAACAACTGAACACCAACTGGATATCCAAGTTGATGAAGTCTGATGATATCGCAAAGGCCTTCATCATGAAATAACTGACATCATTTAGACAACCACTGAATTCCAAGGACGTTTCAGAATACACTCACGACCGCACTTACCAGGGTTCGAGCCAAGAACCTTTATTTTACAAGTAGCGACCACCAGCCAGTATCATTGGCGAGTATTTTTCCTCACACTCACTTTGCTGGTGATGACTTTTGCTCAGACTTTAGCAGACGTCATACTGCAGTGAGTAACCAGTCAAGTGCTGATCCAGAATGACTTAAATGACTTGAAGGTTGGTCACGAGCTGGCTTCAGCTGCAGAATCACTGAGATTATAACTTCTAGACATTAAGTCAAACACTTTAAGAGAACTGGTTATGCCATTGTCTCTCATTTTCAGTTGTTTGGTAGATTTTGTCAAAGTCTAACATTAGCTACACAGATGATTGTGAACGATACTGCCCTGGACAGCTGTTTCCTCCTTTGTTGGGACTGTTCAGAAGTAGATATCCACGACTCAAACACGGGTCGAACGTGAGACCTTCAGGTTATGAAACCCAGCTTGTTAAT